TGTCTTTTTGTTACTGGCTTATTTCTCTGAACATAATGTCCTCAAGGTTCATCCATGCTGTAGCATGTGACAGGATTCCCAACTTTTTAAAGGCTGAATAACATTCCATTGTACATATACATATAATTTTGTTTATCCATTCATACACTGATGGACATTTGGGTTTCTTCTATCTCTTGGCTATTATGAATAATGCTGCTATGAAAATGGGTATGCAAATATGTCTTTGAGATCCTGCTTTTAATTCTTTTGGTTATATACGCAGAAGTGGGATTGCTGGGTCACATGATAGTTCTATTCTTAATTTTTTGAGGAAGCTCCATACTGTTTTCCATCGTGATTGTATTGTTAGTGAGTCAAATATTTAGGTTTTCTTAGGAACCGTTTTAGATTTACAGAGAAATTGAGAAGATGGTACAGAGAATTCGTATATATCCCACACTCAGTTTCCCCTGTTAAGCTATCACATTAGTGTGGTATATTTGTTAAAATTAATGAACCATTATTAAATAAACAGCTTATTCATATTTCCTTAGTTTTTGCCTAATGTCTATTTTCTGTTCCACGGTATCACATTATATTAAGTTTAGTTGTTCTGTCTCCTTAAGTTGCTCTTGGTTGTGACAATTTCTCAGATATTCCTTGTTGTTGATGACCTTGACAGTTTTGAGGCCTACTGGTCAGGTATATTGTAGGATGTCTTTCTACTGAAATATGTTTGATATTTTTCTCATGTGTTTTTCTGGTGTTATGGGTTTTATCATAGAAGAAGATCAAAGAAGTAAAATGTCATTTTCATCACATCATATCAAGGGTACTTAACTACCATCATGATTTATGACTCTTGATGTTGACTTTGACACCTAACTGAAGTAGTGTTTGTCAGTTTCTCTATTGTAAAGTTATTCTTCTTTTGCTGCCTTTTCATACTGTCCTCTTTGGAAGAAAGTCACTATGCACAGCCCATATTTTAAGAGTGGGGAGTTATGCTCCCCCCTCTTTTAGGGTTAGGTTTTGTTGACATAAAAAAAAGTTATTTTATCAGCAAAAAAAAAAAGGGTTTATTTGGCAACAGCAAAGAATTGCAATGCAGGACATGCAAGTTATGGCAAAACCATAGGCAAGCTGGAAAAACAAAGGAGAGAATCTTTCTGTTACCAGAGTAAAGGGGAAGATGGGAGGAGGTGTTACAAAGAGTCCATTTGAGGAAACTGGGAGTTGTAAGTATAGTGGCTTTTCACTGCTGAGTTGTGACAGTCTTTCACTGGCTGAGCTGTTGCCAAGGCAAAAAGAAACTCTTCCTTTCCCTTACTGTGGTAATAAAGGAGAAAAATCTTCCTGTTGGAGATTCAAGGTACCCCTTCTCCCTGTTTGGAGGTAAATGATCACGAGTAGTAAAGCCTGCGAGCTCCCAGTATAGGCCCTTCCCGACTCCAATTTTAGTTGAGGTTTCCTTTAGTAATTTTCAGTTTTAACAAGCAAAGTAATCCACACAGGAAATATCTTAGTTCTTTTCATCACTGGTCATGCCTTGCACGTTTAGCAGCTGATCTGAGGTGGATAAATAGCCCGTACTGGCCACCCCCACTCCTGGAACCCCACTTTTCTCGTCTGTAAAAGGGGTATTGGTGATCCTTCACTCCCTAGGGCTGTGGTGAGTAGAAAGGCTCCTGCTTTCAATGTCAGTTCCCTCTGCCTCCCCTATATGGCTGTCGGGGACACCCGGGAGAGAGACGGGGCAGAGACTAGACTAGGGCTTCTCCAGAGCCAGGCGCCAGGCGCCAGGCGCAGCCCACACCAGTCCCAAGTTCTAACCACACCCTGGGCCCAGCTGCCCCACTCCAAGGCGGGGAGCAGGTGTACTTCCGCCACCCATAAGTATCTCGCACGTGGCGGGCCGGGCGGGGTGCGGAGCGGTAGCTCCGCTGCGCAGTGCCAGCAGTCTGCAAGGCCAGGACGATGAACCTGACCTCCATGCCTCGCTCCCCGCGGCCGGGCCGGACCGCGCCCCCCGCGAGCCAGTCAACGGTGAGTGCGCAGCCTGGATCCGGCGGGCGCCTGTGCTGCCATGCCGCCTCTCCCTTCTTTCACTCTGTCAGTCCCTCCCCTCGGGTGTGAGTCCGCGTCCATGGTCCCCGGCCCCCGCTGCTGGTGCGCCTTTTCCATCTCTGGCTGGGTTCCTTTTTTCTCCGGGCTGTTCCTTCCGCGCCACGGTCTCAGTTCCCATTCAGGCTCGGTCCAGCCTCTCCTCTTTGCCCTCTTTCCTGTTTGGCTGCCTTGGTTTCTCTCCTCCTTCTTTTCTTGGTCTTTGCTGTAGCTGATGTGTGTGTGTGTTTCCTCTGTCCCCTGGCTTGTCCTAGCTGACTGCTCTTCCGCTGTCTCTCTCCCTCCCCTGCCCCCATCCCTCCTGCCCCGGGGTAGATGCAGACCCAACCAAAAGCTGCCAGTGTCCTGTTCCCTCACCCCTCAAACCCCCACCCTCTCCAGCCTTGCCCAGCCCTCTGGCAGGATCCTAAGCCAGCCTGCTTGCTTTGCTCATGCCCAGGGCTTGGGAGAGGGAAGTTTGGGAGAGGATCAGTGCGGGGAAAGCCCGGTGTGCTGTAGGAGCAGCGCATTCTCATCTGCCTCGGGCTAGGTGCCATCAGGAAGACTTGTAGAAAGGGAAAGCAGATCCTGCAGTGGGGAGACTGTGGCTCTTTCCCATAGGGCGATGATAACGTCATTGTTGTTGACTATTGACAAAGTCACCTGTTCAGTGACAGGGCTGCCTAGGTGCTCAGTAAATGCCCGAATGAATTACCCCGCAAGGGAGGGAGCAAGCATGGTGCATGATGCCAGGTAGGGCAAGACTGACCTTTATCAGAATACCAGTAAATACTCCTGTAAATCGGGGCTGCCAAGCAGGCTCCATTCAATTCAATAGACATTTATTGAGCATCCTCTGGGGTGCTGTACTAGGTACTAATGATATAAAGATAAATCAGAGCTAGCCCTCCGTTAGGCACCACACAGCCTAATGGGGGATACAGATGTAAAGGGAATTACAAGATAGACAGTGGAAGTACAGGGCCCTCTGGGATCACAAAAAGACAACCCATCTAGAAAGATTCCTGGAGGAATTAATTGATGGATGAGTGGGCTAAGTGAAGCAAACGTTGGCTGCAAGTGGCCCCAGCCTGCTCCGGATGGGTGAGGTGGGCGAGCAGCAAGCTATTCTGGTAGTTGATTGCCAGGGTTGCAAAGGACCTGTAAACCTTGTTAAGGACTCTAGGTGATCTGGAAGGAAATGTAGGGTCACTGAAGTGTTTCATACAGTGGGTGACAGATCAGATTTCTGCACTTCAGAAAAACTGGTTTCAGAGTGTAGATTTGATTAGGGGAGGGCATTCGAGGGGGCAGGGTGTCATGGAATTATAGGAATCAGGCATTTAGGACTTGGTGACTGATTGTGTGCGTGTGTGTGTTGGGGGGACAGGGGCGGTCGTTTAGCATGGAAGCAGAATGTAAGATTACAACCTGGGATTCTGGCTCAGAAAACTGAGATAGGAAACAGTGGGAAAGGTTGTGGGGTAAGGGGAGATCTTGAGAGGCCTGGGGGACATATGAATGGAGATGTCCCTCCATTGACTCCACTAAGGGTGACCTAAGGAAATGTATGAATGTTTGGCAGGGGGTTTGCAGATGTGTAGGGATCCTTTAGACTAGAACTGGGTGAGAGCTGAGCCTGTCTGATTCATCCCTGTGTCCTCATGGCCAGCACTGGCCTGGCACCCAGCAGAGGATCCTAAAGACCATGTGTCCCCAGCCCATGTATAAAGGGCCTGAGACAGGCTTTCCTACCGAGGGATGCTTCAGCAGGGTGACTGGTAGAAAAGGTGGGGAAAAGGTGCCACAAGGAAGGGCAGGTCGTCCGGAAGAGGGGTGGAAAAGAAGTCTTTTATCTACTAGAAACACATACTGTAGTACTTATGGATAAGGTAGGAAGTCTGGGATTTCCAAAGAGATTGGGAGTTTGGGGGGGGGGGAAAGGAGGGAAAGAGGGACAGAATTAAGAAGCTTGGAAACAGCTGAGGTCTTATTTGATAAACAAAGAAATGGGGCTGAGAATGTCAGGGCAGGAAGCTATTTTGTGAAGTATCTGGCAATGAGCTTCAGAAACATTTGAAGTTACTGGATTCATTAGACTTTCAGAGCTGAAGAGACTTAGAGTTCTCTTCGTCTATTTTGCCTCCCTGTTTCATAGATGACTAAGCTTAGGCCCAGAGAAGGAAGTGAGCTGCTGCAGGCACATAGCTAATTATTGACAGCAGTGGGACTGGATGCAGGAGGGATGGGGGTAGGGCACTCATGCTGCTCTGGAGTCAGACTGACATGGGTTTGGTCCCAGCTTTGGCTTCAGCACTTCCTAGCTGTGTGACCCTTCTTTCTGACCTTCCCTTGCTTGTAATGTGGGGGCATTAAGAACACCTGTGAGCTTACAGCAGTACAGGAGTGATTAAATCCATTCAAGGGTTAACATTTGCAACTTTGCATTTAACTATCAGCTGTACAGAGGGACCTCAGTGTTAACCAAAGAGCCTTGCCAAGGGGCCTTGAGGTGTGTGGGAGAAAGAGGGAGTCACAGATTCTGGGCTTATTTGTCTCATAGCTGTATTGTTTGACTGCTGTCAGAGTGCATTCTCTCTCTCCTCTCCCTTCTCCCCTCCAGCCAGCAGAACTGTCCCCTGGTAGGAGCTGTTGCCATGGCAACTCAATTCTCCCCAGGAGTTTGGCTGTCTTTGGTTCTCTTAATTCCATTCTTAGAGGTAGAATTCACAGACAAGTTGAAGATGAGGTCACACCTAAATTAGGTTAAAGGACTTTTCTGAGCCCCAGCCCTGGCCCTGTAGTGACTTGTGGTAGCGTTCTCAGGTCACTGATTTGTTAGAAACCCAGCCTTCCCTCTAACACTACACAGATCTTTTCTGCAGCAGCAGCCATCACATCCCCTAGGAAACCTTCCCTGATAACCTCCAACACACATGCATAAAAAGCCGACACCTCCTACCTTTGAGTCTTCCTTCTCAGCTCATACATTTAAGTCATCTGTTTCCCTCTTTCCCCTGTGAGCTCCTCGACGTTTAGGAGGAGGCTTGAATGGAATAGGTCCTCCCTACATTTTGTTGAATGAATGAGTAACTAAGGGAATGAAGAGAGGACATATTTGAAGGTTGAATACTAATTTAGACAATGACTAACAGCACAAGCTTCAGGGTAAATTGGTACCTGAGTTCAAATTCCAACATCACCACTTAATAGCTGGTTGATTCTAGGCAACTATTTCACCACCTTAAGTCTTAGTTTCTTGATCTGTAAAATTGAGACTTAATGCATTCTTCATAGGATAGCTATTAGAATTGAGTTAGAGACTGTATGCAAAGGGCTTTGCATAGTCGCTAGACTGGGAGCGGAGGGACTGTGTCCTGCTTGTTCCTCACTGTGTCCCAGGTACCTGGCACAAAGCAGGCACATGCATATTTTATTGAATGAGTCAATTTTAAATAACAAAAGTTCTTCAGGAAGCTGGTTTGTAAGGATAACAACTGGTGTATCACTTCACATGTAGTAATTGCTATACTGTCTTCTGGTATTTTTGCTTACACTTAGTATTCCTCAAATGCAGCCTGTTTCCAGGTTCCTTTCCACACTGGGCTGTGGGCATCTCCAGGCAGGCACCATGTGTGTCTCACCCACATCCATAGTGCTCAGCCCAAGGTGGAGCATAGAGAAAAGGCCTCTAAAAATTCTGTTGAGCAGCTAACCCTAACTTAACATTTACATCACACTTTACAGGTGATGAGGCAGTTTCACATCCGTGGTGTTACTGGCCTTTTCACCACCAAGGATATTCCTGTTATTTAATATCCATGGGCCTGTATTTTGACAAAACATCCATCAAACAAATTCCATTTGCTAATCAAAGTCATGCCAACTGCTAATCAGAACTTCTGATCTATATGAAATAAAAATTTTTATCCCCAACTCCCAACGGAGGATGTGGACACACATAAGTACTCAAAAAATGCTTCCTGAATGAATGCACGTATGATTTCTTTAGCCTTTGAGAAAGGTTGAAAATGGTTTGTCCCCTCCTCCTTTTTTTTTACTGTATCTTAGATCTGAGCACCTACGTTGGGAACTTCTGACTTCACAACAGCTCCATATCCCCATTTTATAAACGAGGACACTGAGGTCAAAGGAGAGGAAAAACCTTGCCAAAGGCCACATACTTTAGAAGTATTGTCACTGAGGCTTGCTTCCACAGCAGCCTACTAATATTCTGTGACCTAAATGAGAAAGTTAAAATGCTTGTTAGGTGTTCTTATATCAAACTGAAATATTTTTCTTCCTTAAAATGTCCATTCTCTGGAGCTATACAGCATTAATATAACCCCTTTCAGTACGATGAGCTTTTCAATTGCTGAAGCCTCTCATGGCTCTCCTTAATTCTGTACGGGGTTATTTGAATGAAACTAAGTCATGAGCTTCCTGGAGGTGGCGCTATTGGTTCACTGCCTCTTGTGCCTCTAGATATCTCCCGTCGTGGAGCTGAACGTGGGAGGCGAGTTTTATACTACCACCGTAGGCACCCTGAGAAAACTCCCGGGCTCAAAGCTGGCAGAGATGTTCTCCAGCTCAGCCAAGGTCTTCACGGATGCGGAAGGCCGCTTCTTCATTGATCGCCCCGGCACTTATTTCGGACCCATCCTGGACTACCTGCGCAGCGGGCAGCTGCCCACGCAGCACATCCCCGAGGTGTACCGTGAGGCTCAGTTCTACGAAATCAAGCCTTTGGTCAAGTTCCTGGAGGACACGCCGCAGATCTTTGGTGAGCAGGTGGCACGGAAGCAGTTCTTGCTGCGAGTGCCCGGTTACAGCGAGAATCTGGAGCTCATGGTGCGCCTGGCGCGCGCAGAGGCCGTGGCGGCGCGCTACTCCAGCGTCCTAGTGTGTGCAGTGCGCACGGAAGAGGATGCCGCGCACTGCGTGGAATCGCTGCGCGTCCTGGAGGCGGACAAGAGGTTGGTCGTCCAATTCGGGCCTTGGAAAGCGGCCCCGGTCATCAGGGACCTCCTGGACTCCGTGCGGATGGACATTGAGGCCCAGGGGTACCAGGTAACCTATGACTACTGCTCCACGAAGACATTCCAGCCTAAGCTAGGGGTCAGTGAATACTTCTATACGTTCCACTTTACCTGGTGGTGATCCTCACGGGCGGGGACTGTTAATGTACCCTGGTGGGGCTTATGAAATTAAAAGTTGCCTTCAAAAGCCATCTTCCTTTAATTTCAAAAACAAACATCAAACAATTTCCAAATTGGTCTGTGAAGCTTGCCCCCAAATATTTATCTCCCCTTGAGGACTTTCCACTCATTGCAACGGACTCCGCTTGTACTTGCCTAGGTAGTGAGGTGCAACTACTTCTTTAAAGCCACATGTACCTGTCAGAACCTTACCTTGAAGTCAAATAGTAAGGCTGAGATTAATTGGAATGCTCCAAAAATGCTTTGGCTGGAGATGCGGGGTGTCAACAGGAAAACAACAGGATATCATGAATCTAGTCTGATCTAAAAAAAGTAATCTACCCGGCCTCAGCCGATGGGCCAATCCTTTAGCCCTGGTATGTGCCTTAGGAGGAAGATGCCAAGTTAGTACCTGTAGTAGATGCCACCCAGACCTTCTGTCCCAGATGCTGTGAGTGTTGGCTGCTAAAGCCTCACAGCTGTCCTCTGCTTTAGAGCAGTGGTTTGCAAAATGTGGTCCCTGGACAAGCAGCATCAGCAACACCTGGATACTTGTTAGAACTACAGATTCTCTGACCCTTTCCCTACCCCCACACCTACTTAATCAGAAACCCTGGGAGTTGGCCCAGCACGTTTAACAAACTCTTCAGGTGCTTATGATACACTCTAATCTTGAGACCTGCTCTGAAAAAGAATTTCCATTTCTCTTGTGTAGAGGTACAGAAGACTGACCCCTAACTTCAAGGAAGAACCAGATCTGGTGGTGCACTTCCTGTTCAGAGCTCCTTGTGGGATCAGGCAGAAGTCAGTCCTCATCTGACACCATATTCTTGTTGAGCATTCTTCCTCTGCTCTACCCCATTTCCCTCATTCCCCTTCCCTTGAGAGCACATCCACAATGAATCACTTGCACAAGAGAGTCTTTCAGGTTCTGCTTCTCAACCTAAGACATATGTAACTCTAAGGAGGACACATGTAGACATTCATCCTTCTACAAGTCCAGGCCTGGGTTAGATGGCTCCCTTCCCTGCCTAGTAGGGTGACCAGCCATCTTGGGTTCCCTAGGACTGAAAGTCAAGTTTAAGTGTCCAAGTTTAAGGAATTAACACTAAGTCAGGGAGTTTCACATTTAAACATAAAATTGCTCAGAACAAAGTTATTTTCAACAAGCGTTATAATTCAGTAAGTTGTATGTTTTTTCTTATTTGCAAAGCTTGTTCTATGTTTTCCTTTTTTGGTATTTAATATGGCTGACAATTTAAAGTGAAAAACTCCTGAATGTCTATTTGAATTTTTTATCATGAAGCAATTCAACATTATTTATCAAAAGCCTGAAGAGGAAGTTCATATCTTTTGATTGGTATGATCAATGTAAGATTAGATTGTAAGGGGACACCCTGCTTCTTAAGATTGAAATAGGATAGTTTAAAATTTCAATTTTATGAATTTTGGAAAGGTCAGTGTTCTCCCCAAGATTTCTGCACATTCCCAGAGGGCTTGTCTTCTTGTGGTTGGCTCTGGTTCTTTGCTTCTGCTGGATTCATTCAGCATAGGGATCATCTAGATGTATTGAACTGGTTGTTGCTGTTCTGCACAATGATCACCCAGATTTAACACTCAGGTCTTTTTCCTAATTTTTACAAATGCCACTCCCATGAGCTATTTGTGCACATAGCAGACTGTGGAAAATACAGGCAATGAAGAGGAGAGTCTACAATGCAAATAACTTGAATATTGGACATATCTATTCTTAAAAGTGTTGTCAGTCACCCCCATCACTAGGGGCTTTTCACTAGTAGATTGTATTTGTTTCCTATTCTTTCTTCCCTCCCTGTTCTTGCCATGCTTCTCTGTAGGTGGGTGTAACCTTCCCCATCCCACTGACTTTGTGTTTGGCCTCATGACTTAATCTGGCCAATGGACTATGTGTGGAAGTGACAGTGTGCCAGTTCCAAACAGGCTTTAGAGGCATGCCAAGTTTCCACCAGCCTTCTTGTGTTCTTGTCATTTGCCAGGAGAAGACCATCTTCCAGTCTAGCTACCATTTTTTATTGCTTTGGCTCTATCCTGCATCCCTTAGGACCTGACTCTCTTCCTAAGCAATTTACCAAACTATTTTATTAAACAAAGGTAAGTCCAATATCCCCCTCCAACTCCCAGTCCATAATGCAAATAATATAACATACTATTTTTTATCTCACTTAACAATAGCAAATCAATTGGAAATAAGTTAGTTATACTACATATATATAATGTAATGTTATACAGCAATTAAAGTAATATTTATAGATGGCTTAAAGTTATTGGAGAGGAGAATGCTTATTTAAGTCTATGCAATTTAATTAAATATTAACTCCAAAAAGGATTTAAGGTGGCAGGGCTTACATGGTTATGGGAAAAAAATGTCCAAAAAGGTATACATTAGAAGTATATAAATTAAGTGGACACTTTTGTTTGCCTACCCAATAATACCATCTCCTCCCTTCCTATTTTCTAACAGAGAAAGCAAAACAGTAGGACACATTAATAATGTTTAAAATACTATATGTTTATTTGTAAGGGTGAATGAGACTTTTCAGATCCGTTGGGATTAACTGAAGAAAATTATAGAGTCAGAAGAGGAAAACTTAAAACTGAATGCTAAGTATAACTGTCATTATAATCCAAAGGAAAAACACAAAATAGAGTAAAATCTCTGAGATTGCCCTCATAGAAATACCTCGTTCATAGCACTGTGCCAGGTTTTCAGGTTTACATTGTTCTCCTAGAGTACATTATTTTTTACAATTCTCTACTTATTTTCCTTGTCTTCTCCCACCCCCTCCCCATTCAGTCTCTTCCCTTTTCTGCTGTGCTCAGTGTCCTGGGAGTCTTATCCCTAGGTACTGCATGCCCAGGTCCCTTTCTGGTTGGCCAAAGACTTGGAAAGTACAAGAGTGAAAGAAGACCTGCGGAGTTGGTATATGGATGGACCTCTTGGAATGGTGAAAATGTTTGTGTTTCTTATGAATGCCTTTCAGAGGGCACCCATTCTAAAATAGGCTAAAAAAAAATAAATAATGGATGCAATGATCCAACCTGTGGATATCAGTCAACTTCTTTCCCCAACTCCTCAATGCTTGCTCAATGGAGTCATGAAAAAGGTGGCCATGATGGCAGAAATGGAAAGCTAAGCATAGGCTCTACAGTATAGACTTCCTCTCACCAAAGATGATCAAGTAACTGATGGATGTCCAACAGCAGAGACCAACATTAAGCCCCTTATATGGTATTTTTCCAGGGGTAGGGAGGCGTGGGTAGACGCTTCTTGGTGCTAGGTTGATTGCACTGCAAATTAGTTAGCTATACTGCTCTGTAACAAACTGTTGGAAGAAATGTTAGTGTTTCTAAGCAAATGAAACTGACGGCTTTGTTTGAGGATGTTTACAATGGTGCTTATGGGTAGGGAGCAGACTTACTTATAGGGTACTAAGGCTAGTATCACTCTCCAATCCTGAAGACATTTCAAGGAAATAAAAAACGCCTCTCACTGGGTTGTAAGGCAGACTTGTTTCCTGACCAGAGGGCAGGTTTGCTAGCATTCATCTTTTAAGATTAAGAGTTCCCTAAGCTCAGTATTCTTCAATAGTGTTAGAGATCTATCGTGTGCATGGCATTCACCTACATCACCCCCATGGATCTAGGCGGGCAAGGAGAACCAATATAAACACGAAGTTCATGCTATACTGTGAATAATAAACTGTCTAAATCAATTTGGGCTTATTGTCTCCTTACTAGCCGAATCTATGGAAGTGTGGCAAGCTGACTTGGCAATTTAGGGACTGTCTGACCATATGACAACCCCCTGACCCCCAGCCTCAATGCCTTAAGACTGCAACTATTAATTATTTCTCATAAGCCTACAGATTGGGCAGTTCTGGTCTTGGGCTCATTCATGCACCTGTAGTCAGATGGTGGATCAGCTAGGGTAGGGCTGGTCTAAGATGGCCTTAGCTGGGTCAACTTGATTTTGTTCCATGTGGTCACTCACTCTCCAGCAGACTATGTGGGACTTATTCTCATGGCAATAGTTGGGTTTCAAAATCAAGGAAAGGCCTGAGGAACTGGTATATGGAGGAACCTTGAGGCTTAGACTCAAACCTAGCACAGTCACTTTTGCTACATTCTACTGGCCAGGCACAAGTCTAGCCCAATTCAAAGGGTGAGGATATAGATTCCATCTCTTAATGGAAGCAGCTTCAAAGCTATATTTCAAGGGACATACATACAGAGGGAGAAATGGGGCCATTTTTGCAATCATTCTACTACACACTGGATCCTTTCCATCAGGGAAGGAGTGGTGCCTTAACCTCACAGGGATAGATACAGATTCAGATTTGACTTTCTTACTGCTATAGACTGAGTGTTTGTGTCTTCCCCCACCTCCACGAATTCCTTTGTTGAAACCTTAACCCACAATGTGATGGTATTGGGAGCTGGGGCCTTTGGGGGTTGACAAGGTCATAAGGGAAGAGCCCTCATGAATGGGATTAGTGCCCTTACAAAAGAGGTCCCAGAGAGCTCCCTTGCCTCTTCTCCTGTGTAAGGACATGTGAGAAGATAGCTGTTTATGAACCAGGAAGTAAGCTCTCACCAGACACTGAATCTACCTGCGCCTTCATCTTGAACTTCCCAGCCTCCAGGACTGTGAGAAATAAGTTTCTGTTGTTTATAAGCCACTCAGTCTATGGTATTCTGCTATAATAGCCTAATATCTCTATACATGTCCTATTAGCTCTGTTTTACTGGACAACCCTAACTTATATACCTACCTGCAATGTTTCTGCCAGCCCTACCATTCATGGATACCTTATTCATTTTCGTAGTATATCACACATTGCTTCTGACTAAGGAGCTTATTTTATGGTGGAAGAATTTTAGCAAAGAAACTCATTGGTCTTTCCAGGTACCCCATCACTCAGAGGTAGTTGCTATAATAAAAATAGTGCCATGACCTTTTGCAGACTCAGTTATGGTGCTAGCTAAGAGACAACACATTGTGAGTTGGGGTGCTATCTTACAGGTTTGTGATATGCCTTACACGGACAGCTAATACATAGTAGTGTCTCCCAATTAGAATACATGGGCTTGGGAACAAAGGGGTGGTGGTAGGAGTGCTTCTTGTCACTTTTACACCTAATAACTCATTTATGGAGTCTTGGGTTCAGTGGGTTAGGAGTACTTAGTCCCCAAGAGAGGAACAGTTCCATTAAAGAACACAGTCATTGTTGTATTATTTGGAACATGTACTGAGACTGCCCCTGGTTATTTGGGATCCTTGCTGAGCCAACAGGCAGAAAAGGGATTACTATTCCAGTCTGAGTGACTAACCCTAATTTCCAAGGGGAAATTGAGTTGTTGTTATATTGGGTTGTTGGAAAAGTCATGATGCATTTTTTGCAACGAAAAACATAGAAAACATACATCATGACTTTCCCGACAACTCAGTACAATAGGGACAGGAAAGACTCTATTTGAAGCCCAAAGGATTCATTGGGGTGCCTCATTGTATGATCATATGCAATAAATGAAAGTCAAAGGAACATGTCATCAATTCAATAAAGACAGTTCTTCATTTCAAAATTAAAGA